GTAGATGGGAGGATAATCTCAGGCGGGAGGAAGCCTGAGGGGGAGAGACCTCTGGGGAGACCTAGACGTAGATGGGAGGATAATCTCAGGCGGGATCTATGGGAGATAGGAGTTGAAGGAGACTGGATTTTGTTGGCCCAGGACAGGGTCCGGTGGAGGGCTTTGGTTAATTCGGTGATGAACTTTCGGGTTCAGTAAGCCATCTGGTTAGTTAGGCATGTGTCCTATATTCACAGGTTGTCCGAAGAAAGAACGGTTTATGTCTCTCCTGCTGAGCCTCAGTATTATGACTTCAAGTTTGAAGACAGCGTTGAAACAGTTTTACTGCGAGTTGATTCTGACGATGACATCTGTATGACTGTTTCCATCCAGAATAAGAGTGTAAGTTTTATGGAACTGTGGATTGTTCAGACCAGTGGACAAAGATGAACTTTTTCAATAATTTAACGTAAATGGAAACCCATTTAACATTTTGTGAGAAATGATAAGCCGGGGTGTTGCGCATAAGTGAATATTTACCAGATTTTTTTTTCTTTTTGTATTTCAGCATTTACTCGCAGTGATGTACTGTTAATTTAGTAATTGCTTATAATATTGAAACATTTAAGAATCACAAACATATGTCATGTCATATACAGTTGCTTCACTTCGTTACCGTGGCGTTTAATTTTGTTCTTGAAGAAATTTTTAAGTCAGAAACTTTAGATGTAGTTAGAATTTGATGTATACACATGTTCCTAAATCTGTTATCATAATTTCCTTCCCCTTAATAAGTTTCAGACAATTTTCCTGATATTTCTGAATCTTTACAGCAATGATATACGTACCTTCAAGGATTTAAAAGTGTTGCTTCTTCCAGGCTTTCGAGATTGTAGAACGCCAGTGCCATTCAGTGCAGGGTCCACAAACTTACTTAATTATCTAACTTTTAAAAATATGGTACATTACTTAAGGTCACTTATGTTTGATGATTGTTAGATTATTTATTGTTGTTGTTTATCATCAAATGTGGTGGAGAAATTGTTCGTGGATATATGTGGTAAGGATTAGGAAGGATGAAATCATTTGAAGATACTGTCCTAACATTTCATGGAGGGACAGAGGAAAACCATGAAGAACCTCGGTCAGAATTGCTGGTAAATTGGCAAAGTTGAAATTCAAAGCAGGTTTCTCCTGATTACAGGTATAGAGGTTTTAGTACTGATCTGATCTCTGTTTGCAGTGTCCTGTGTTTGATCTGGAGCGGAATGTCCAGTTTGAGGGTTACTGGCAGACCGTGAACAGACGCGGAGGAATCACACTTACTGCAAGTTGAAGTTAAAATTACACAGCGTATAATATAAAACCTAATTAATGTGAAACTGACGAAGTCTGTAAAATTGGACTCCAGCTTGATGATATAACGTCACTTCTCGCTCAGTATTATGCAGTAAAAGTTTCGATTTGTGTTGTATTAAGAATAAAATTAATCCATGCTTCTCCAGACCTTGTAAATGTGGATGTCTCTTATTCTGGTTGAATTTGACTTTTGGTAGAGAAATTCAGTGAAAAGGAAACATTTTACTTTGAGCATTATTGATGAACTAAAGATTGTTTAGAAAATAGTCGGTGTAAGGTTAGCTTAAGGTTAGGTTAGTAATGTATCCTGCTCTGTTTTGCCAATAATTTATTTTTGTCGTCATAATTTGCTTTTTGCCTTCATCAAATCTGCGCTACCGTTCCCGAGTTTAGGTCTGACGATTGTAGATTTGTTTTCGGTACGGAGTCTTGTCTGAAGCAGTCGTTTGTTTCTTAAGTTTCTGTAGATAGTTTGTTGTGAAACCACAAAATATGTTGGAAAGAGTATCTTGTAGGTTGTATGCTGTGGTGGAGGACGTGTTACTTAATCAGAAATGTTTTTTTTTTAAGTTATAGAATTCTTTCATTTAATGATGCATTTATTCACACTTGTTTACAGAAAACGGCATTTCCTTTAGGATTTTACGTGGTATTTGTGGTGAAATGTGATGACTGGGACTGTTCTGGATCTTACGAAACCGTGAAAGTTGGTCGTAATAAGTCTCTGAAGTTCTCTATTAAACCTAGCATTACACACCACAGCTACATCATATCTACAGTTGTTGCGTTGCTGGTCATATCGCTTTTCTACATCTTCTCAATTGTGGTGTCGGTGGTGTACTTCATCAAGTGAGTACAAGCTTCGTACTATTTTGGTGGTTGTAGACTTTCAGGAGAAATTTGACTGACATAATGATGAAAACAAAAGAACAAGATTGTTTTTGGCATTTTTTAACTATAGAATTATGAAGGAATAAATTCATGTTCATTTCAAACAAGTTTGTGGTGGTAAAACCTCAAATGAAGTAAAGAAGACTTAAGCAGAACTTGTATCCTACAGGACACTAACTTAGGCTTGGCGAGTCTCCCGACATTGTGTGCTGTTTAGTCGATATTCCCTTCAGTTTCCTCCCTGTATCTTTTGTTTCCTCTATCATTTATTATAGATTCTTCTGTTTTTTTTCCCTTTCTATCCATCTTTCATCCCACCTCCTTATCTTTCCCTTCTTCATCTCTTTGTTTTCAGTGATGTCACTGGATATTACGCTGTGTAATTATTTGCCATTGTTTTCTGTAGGCAGCGACGTCAGCAGCTACTGGACAATGGTCCGTTGGATGACGCAAGCATCCAGTCGCCTCAGTCTCCTCTGGGACTGCCGAGCAGCTACGGGCAAATTCAGACTCCAAGCGCCAGCAGTGATTTGACAAGTCCGGACTCCGTTATCCGGTGTCACTCTGACTCATCGTTAGACGAGACTGACATTGATATGATGCAGGATGCTGACAGTGACAAGGATGTTTTCAGGTTCGAAATTCAGTGGCTGAATTAATAAATGAGACTGTAAAGTTGTAGTCTGTGCTGGAATACACAGTTTCCACCCTTTTTTCCCCCATTTCTGAATGCTACTAGTTGAAATAAAGAAAATATACTGGGATACTGGGAACGACCCATTCTTCAAGTGCCTGAGCACTGCGGGTCCCAACTTTTCGTTGGCTCTGATCTATGGACATTCGGTAGGACTCCTTGGACGAGGGATCGGCCCGTCGCAAGGCCTCTACCTATACACAGGACAGCACAACACAGAAAAACGCGGACAAACATCCACGGCTTGAGTGGGATTCGAGCCCACGGTCCCAGCGACCAAGCGACACAAGGCCCACGCCTCAGACCGCGCGGCCACTGCGAACCCCTAAATAAAATATAATAATTTTTTTTATATTTAATTGGCTGTTCTGTTCCTCAGTTTACTACATTAAACTTTGTACATCCCAGTGAATGAAATTTGTTTCAGCAAGAATTAGAACTTTCAGCGATCATAATTTTTTTTCTTTTCGCAGTAAAAGTTCAGTATAGGAATTTCTATAATGAGGCCTGCTTCTCAACTCTACCGGTCTGCACCATAAAATCTGACTCACCACCTACTGCCTGTCCTAAGTTAGGGTTCCAGAACTTGCTACTTGTCGCAAAGGATAAGTTGCCTGTTGCGGTAATTGCCCACCGGTAACACTAGCCCCTAGTCTGGAACAGTCGAGGTCTTCCTGACTGCACATTCACCTTGAAGATGGCAACCGTGATGTTGGTTAAATTCCAACATTTGACTCGACTCACACCTGAAAGCCCAAGTTATGTCCGTTCTTTGCAGTCTTTTGTGGTTCAGTGACATTTATATGTGAAGGAAATAGTATTAAAAATATATATTAAAATTGGCCGTCAATCACAATATAAGATAATTAAAAGATTAAAATATCATTTTTCGTTCCGTATCGAGTACTCGATTTACATATGGAACATTTACGACATGTTTCGGCTATCATAGAGCCGTCATCAGGTGTTATGTTATAAACTTTTTAACTGAATTACTGATTTTTAATGCTTTTTAGTTTTCATTTTTCTTATCATTTTCTCGTCCTTCATATATGTGAAGGAAATGTTTTATCACACACAATAATTCTTTATGCTTTAATAATAAGAGTGTTTCCGAGCTGCGTATAAAACGTATGGGTAAGAAGTAGATTTTTCTTGAGCATTATTTGTTCCTTTGCTTATTTTTTCTCAGTTCTCTCTCTGTCTCTTCTTATTTATTTGTGCATAAAGATTTACTGCAGTGGCACGTTGAAGTAGAAATAAAGTGACCAGAACTTCTTGCTCTGTAATTTTGTGTTAATGAGTAGAATGGAAATTGGTGTAATTAAAATATCTGATATTTCGTATCTGAACTCTCTTTGCAAGAAATGTGTTTATAACCACGTTTTTTGTTGTGTTGTTTTATTCTCTTTGCAAGAAATGTGTTTATAACCGCATTTTTTTGTTGTGTTGTTTTACAGAACAAAAACCTTCTTGACTGTTATGGACCTGGCACGCAAGAATCCACGAATTTTACGCAAGAAGTCGCAGCTGTACCTGTGGAACCTCCTTACTGTTGCCGTGTTTTACTCTCTGCCAGTTGTTCAACTTGTAATCACTTACCAGCAGGCAAGTGATGTACCTCAAAAAATTAGCTACTTTCAGCTAACTCTGTAATGCAGTCTTGTTTTGGCAGACGATATGTGTTTCATTTTCTTAAGAAGTATCCTGCCATAAAATCCAGAGACAATGTTAAATGCATCCTTTTCTCCACGGTATGGTGGGTCCTTGGGGTCGCAGATGGAGGGGATGGCCTCCAGATATCGAGATTAGTTGTGTATAAATTGATAAAGAAGTCACGGACAGCCAACGTGGAATGGTCTTCCTGTTTTAGGGTTGAGAAGCCTCCGATCAGCTCCTTACAAAAAAAATCAGCATTTTGTTAAATATTACGTAGGGCCACAGTCTTGTATAGCGTCTTTAGAATGACTTAAGAAACAGAAAATAACGTGAGATTTTGAACTTGGGAGATTCTGGAATCCCTGTAGGCGAGGACTTTGAAAGAAATAGCAAGAGAATTTGCAAAGTACAAGTTAAATTTAGGAGAGGAGATGGGACAAGGACTTTACTGATTCAGCAGATAACCATACTTATTTATAAATATATATATATATATATATATATATATATATATATAGAAAGAGAGAGGGGCAGTATCTTTTTGTGCATGCAGTTAGGAGGTTGGAACTTGTTATGAGTGTGCTTGCTCCAGTTGAGGATAAAAGTGATGATATTATGAGTTTATGTGAAAGTGGAAAGTGCGTTTGACCAGTTTCATAAGTACCACATGAAAATTTTGTGGAGAAATTTCATCGCAACGGTAAGGAGAGAAGAGGTTTTCAATCTGACAGGTGGGAACAAGATTCTGCATGAAACTGGAAATGATCATAGCGTTAGAATTGTAAATTTTTGCCGTGTCAGATAGTCTAACTGTGAAGGACCTGAAATTCAAATCCCAGATCTCCCAAAAATGAAGCAGGAGTGTTTCACTATTGATTATGACATGGGGAAATATGCTGTTAGTTGCACGCTGCTTCCAGGTTCTGAACCAGACCGGAAACCAGGATCTTTGCTACTACAACTTCTTGTGCGCACATCCGCTTGGGCTCCTCAGTGACTTCAACCATGTATACTCTAACATCAGTTACATCCTGTTGGGTCTGTTGTTCATTTTCCTGACCTACCGCAGGGATGTCATGCATCGGCTGTGTGACGATAGGCTAGACAAGGTACAGACCTCCGTGCTCCTGCATTACATGCCCAGAAACACTAATTACGCCTGCCTCGTTTTTGTCCTGTTTGCTTATTTAAAATCATATATTTGGGTTTCTGCCTCGTGACTGCAGTTTTATGTGTACTTTTTTAACTTCGTTGTCATAATTTGTCTACCAGTGCTTTATAAACATTTTAGTTTATATATGGACAATCTTAGGTTTAATAAAGTGTGAGTAAGAATTAGTACATTTATTGATGTTAATAGGATATAATGTTCTTACAGTGGTTCTTGGTTGTAGCACAGTGTAATCTGGTAGAAGTTTGCCAATATTCTACCGGACTACTGTCAGTAGTATGTACTGAATACTAATACAATGGTTGTGCATACCAATATTAAAATATATTTTGTTATTGCCTGTGTGGTTCTGCACCTTTGGACATTTCTGGGTTGTTTCAGTACTTTGGGATCCCACAACATTATGGGCTGTTTTATGCAATGGGTGCTGCACTTATTATGGAGGGTGTGCTCAGTGCATGCTATCACGTATGTCCTAATCATTCCAATTTCCAGTTTGGTAAGTAAAATAAAAAAAAAAATATTTCGCGTTTCAGTATAACATTTGTGGCTGTGAAGGTAAAGCTTCTGTAATCCTAATGTTGAGTTCTAAGTGTCCAGATATTTACAGGTGATGCATAATTACACGTAATAAATGTTGAGTCTAACATTTCGTATAATTCGCTGGGCTTGTAATCGTGGGGTCCCGGGTTCGATTCCTGGTCGTGCCCGGATTTATAACTTGTGTTGGGCAAGGCCGTGGTCTAGGCATCACGGAGTTTTCCTCCGGGGCTTCCCGACAACTACGCCATTCTCATCTTCATCATCATTGCGGGTGCAATGTGAACTCGCCACCATTGGGCACACCCTGTGCAACGCCACTCGGCGGAAAAGTATTTCACTACGTCGCAGGACTTTACGGCCATTGGCGTAAGTCAAGAGCCACTGCATTAAAAAAAAACATTTCGTATAAACACACGTTCTGTTGTGTTAGTGGGATGTGGCGATGTTATGCAGCAACCTGATTTCTGAGCTTGTAACTGTTCGCTAGTCCAACCCTTGTTCTGGCGTGGGTACAGAAACTTCCTTGATCATGCCAAACATGGATGCAGTAGCATCTTGATGTCCAGGTTCCATGTTAAGTTGAGATCACAGCCCTTCTTACTTGTTTTTGGTGCTCAACCTTTAAATTTTCAGTCCATCAGTATTTTTGTTAATTTTGATGTTGCGTAACATGCTGGTGGAACGTGAAGGCCACATTCTATGATTGGCTTAGCTTGAAATGCTCATCCGTATTAAAATTATTAAGATGTAGGAGCACTGAACAAAGTCTGCTATGTGTGGACTGCTCAACTTAACTCTTCTGTTGTCTAACACAAGACCAATAAGGACGAGGCCTTGCACCAGACCGATATCAGCAACTTCTTGTCAGTCTACACATCCTGATAAGCATTAAACAGCGTACTCTGTGTTTGTATCAATCCTAAACTGCTAGTATACTGGTCTGAACTGTCGTGAATTGCTTCCAGATACTAGTTTCATGTATGTAATATCAATGATGTGCATGCTGAAGATCTACCAGACACGACATCCCGACATCAATGCCAGCGCGTATGCCACGTTTGGCGTGCTCGCAGTGGTTATTCTGGTTGGGATGTGCGGTGTTCTTGGAGGAACATTGTACTTCTGGATTGGCTTCACCATTGTGCATCTGATGACGTGTCTCGCTCTCAGTGCTCAGATATATTACATGGGCCGTTGGAAGCTTGGTGAGTCACCGTAATGACTTTTATGACGGTGTTCGTGCAAAAGAATTGCATATCGTATGAATATTTCTTTATTTGTATTTGTAATATAACACATTTTGGATTTTTGTGAGGACTTGTCTTGGATCAAGGCACTTACTCCCGTACTACGGTCGTATAAACATTGTCTGTCTGTCAGCCCCATATGTTTTATGAAATCATTACATAATTTTATTCTATATTTTTATGCATAGTTGAGTGTTTTTTTAATATAGGTCCTATCTGCAAGGCAATGTTTTAGAGAGGGCAACCATTTCAGATTGAGAAGGAGGGTCAGAAGTGTGTGACGTGCTTCGAAGATAGTGTGCATTATGCGTAAATATGTCAGAGGAATGCTACATGTCCATTTTCGTTGTTTCTGTTCTTTGGTTGGTTTGTTAGGCGGGTAGTTGAATTGATTTTGTAAACCACAGAGATAACTTGCATTATGTCATATTATTTGTTATCATTACATAAAGAAGTTTTTAAGAACATATGATTTTACAGATAGATATTAAGTAGTCCAAGTGAGGTAACACTATCTTTTATTAATGATTTTAGTGATAATTGTGGAAAGTAAGTATGTTAGATAGCAATTTATTTGTTCTGTAACCTACCATCTATTGCTACAGTTATGCAGGTGGTAGTTATGTTAAAGCTTGCATAGTGTGTTTTTCTTATATCAGCTAGGAGCGTTTGCAATTGAAATTTTTTGCAAAGAATGCATATGGAAACTGTAAATTATGGCACATATTGTACGTTTTCAGTCTTTTTACACAACAGTTAATTTGTGATCAGTATTGTTCAGTTTACTGTGATGTTCTGTAGAAGACTTTCACAAGTTCCTTAAGACTTCAGGCACCAACTAACTAAGTAACTGTGTGGAATAATTCCCTTCTTTAAAATCTTATAATCGCTCATCTGGTCAAGAAATTCCCTGCGTTGTATTGAACCTGAAGGTATTACTGTTTTCACAAAAGCTCATCACTTATCCTTTTCCTATGCTAGGGAAATAATAATGTATTAGCTTGTCACCCCTAGCCCTCCAGAATATAATGTTTTTAATTCTGAATGGCGATATTCGTTTCCAGACCTGGGAGTGTTTAGGAGGGTGTTCATAGTGATTTACAATGACCTGAGGGCTGGCCCCTGGCATTGTATAAAGCCCGTCTATCCCAACAGAATGGTACTGCTTATATTAGGTAAGGCATCATATACTTTGAATTTAGTAATAATTTACCAGTTATAACTGTCAGTCACATTTTAATTTATGACGGCATTAATTCACCATTTTCCTCTAAACCTGTGTGTCCAAAGGTATGGCACACATGCCACATTTCAGAAGACAAAAGAATCTGTACACTTTTTTACTTTAACGGTAAGTTTAATGCTACCATTTAGTTGTTGCTGAGAAGACATCTTGTGCGCTAGGTAAGATTTCAGCTTCTCATGTTCAAAAGCATGGAGACAGTAAGCACCTCTGAAAAATCTGTCAGTTTCTGTGAGACTACACAGTACAGTGTGTCAGAAGACGGTTATTTATCTCCAACCGTTTGTCTCTTCGTGGTTTGGTATCTCATGAAAGTATTGTTATGTTTTGTTTGATCTGTGGCAATTTTGTAAAACTGCATTTGCATCTTTCATGTGTAGCATATCAAAATCCCTTTAAAAGAACAGATAATATTTTACTCTGTTCTGTGACGGTAGAAAATGGTACTCAACTCGAAGAATCAGATTTATATAAGTTTTGCCTGTCATGGGGGAAACATTCAAAATTCTTTGGTGAATAAATAATGTTCTTTTTTAATTGTTTGTCTGTTCTCTTTCCCATGATATTTATTTATAACATAATATATAAAACATAGGTAACTGGCATTATCTGATTTTTTTAAGGTGCTGGAGAGAGAATTAATATAATCTGAAATGCCTTTTATGAGGTAGACACTACGTTATTCCCTTTTCTAACACGAAAGAAACAAAAACAATTTCAACATTAAAAATGTCGGCAGTAACCTGTGAAACAGTATTATATGTATCTGGTAGAAATATTGAAAGACACCTAGAAGAAGATGATTCTCATGAAGACTGCAGAAAACGTAAACAAAAATTTGTGTTTAATACCTATGACATGTTTAGTGTTTCATTCACATGTGCACAATGCTTTATCAGTCTCTAATTTTTACCATTTCTGTACAGTTAACATGTTACAGTCTCTTGTAACAAGGCTGTGAATCGGTGGAATGGAAAAGGAAAGACCATATTGTTCTTTATTCTACAATCAAGTTACAGCATTACATTTTTTTCCTTTATCAGTTTTATTTCCAGTTGCGCAATTCGTGATTTGAGTCTCGCAGTTATGAGAATGATAGTTGTAACTACTTGTCAGCTCAAGAATTAATAAGCTGTAAGAATGAAAACAGCGCGTTATAAGGGAGTCCTTGTTGCGATGTTCGCATTTGATTGTGATACTGTTCTAGGAAATGTGTGCAACTGGGCACTCGCCGTCTTGGGCTTGATGTACCACTTGAGAGACTTTGCTACATATTTGTTGTCCATCTTTATGGCAAACCTTTTGCTGTACTGCCTTTTCTACATTGTTATGAAGGTATGATTAATTTTTTTCTGTAATGTTCTCGAACTGTGTGCCTCAGACTATTTATTTTGGACAGATATAGGGGAATTTGTCAGTGGTGTAGATGAGTGAATTACCTTCAGATCCAGGCTTAGTTTCATGGTTATGTAACTCCGTTGAGAGAATCAAGGCACCTGCACAGAATTTCGTAGGAAAACCTCTTAGAAGAAAAACCATTGAAAGATCAAGGAGAGGATTGGAGGATTGAATTTCAGGTAAATGAGTTTGAGATTGTTAACTGCATTTACCGATCTTAGAATCGGGTCCAGTAGTGGGCTTTGGCGATATCAAACCTTCAGTTTCCTTAAACCGCGCACATATTTTTTATGTGTCTCCAGCTTTCCTGCCGTGAAATTCAGTGAAACTGTTTTACTCATAACTTGTGGCACAAATTGTTCCATCCATAATGGGAGCTTACATTTAAATGAATTGTTTCTTGCCTTTGAGTGGTTGAAGTGATTTATTTTGTTCACAATACACACGTTTTTAATTTACTCGTGTTTTCTCGCAGCTGTGTCACCGGGAACGGATCCTGATGCAGCCACTGATATACATTCTTCTGTCGTTTGCTTCTTGGGGAGCTGCTCTCTACTTCTTCTTCAACAAGTCAATATCATGGGCGGTTAGTAATATAAACCATGGTGTTGTAAAGCTGCTTTGGCTTTATGATAATATAACATCAGAAAAATTAAGTGTCCTAACAAGAGAAAAAGAATTGTTTCGCCAGGTTAAATGTTTGTTTCCCTTGTCATATTTCACACTCATAAAATGTAAGATAAAAGTATAGGTTTGTGCTTGTTGTTTACTTTCGAAATTGTTTTGGGGCGGAGTCTGTTGTCCTGGCATGCAGTAATCTCTGTGTTTCCGCTGTTCCAGCTAACACCAGCGCAATCGAAGTCTTACAACCAGCCTTGTGAGGTCTTGGACTTCTTTGACAAACATGACGTCTGGCACTTCCTATCAGCTGCTAGCATGTTCTTTTCATTTATGGTGAGTATGTTATCTGTCGCTCTTCTTTTGTCCATGATAATGCAGGATAATGTGAATGCTAATATTGATGATTATATTTTGCTTATTAACAAACAATTACTGGGCTGAACATGCTTTACAAACAATTGGACATTCTTTTTCGAACGTCACGGTCCGCATATCCTCTCCAGTTACTTTTTATGTGAGCTGTGAAATGTTTGTAGTTAAATAATATAACATTTGCACAGTTTAATGACTAGGCCTATTTATGTGAATACACTCACGTTAAGAAAATCTGTATAGGCATTGGGATTTGAACTTGCAAACATGATCTTCACATGAATGTCAGTCCCCTATCATGCCAAATATCGTGACGCATCGCCGTGGGTGCCGGGGCCTCGCGCTGGAGGGGAGGGGCCGCCTGACTTCCAGGAAGCCTGGTCTTGATCTTTCAACATCTTGGGAGGGGGATATAACAAAGTCGCGTTCCTGGGTGCGGCCGAGTGGTGACGTAGCATGCAGAGAGTGAGCTGGAGGGCACCGCGAAGCGTTGAGCGTGTGTGGATGCCCATGTAAAAGTGTTTGTCGGATCGTATTCAAGGCAGCAGACTCCAGACAGCAAGGGTTGACAATAAAGGGCGTAAGAACCAACCTACGTCGCAATATTATACGAGGGAACACGGGCAAATAACCAAAGTATAGCATTCACCCCTTTCTACTTTCAGAGGACCCCAGGAGAGTCATTAACATTAATTCATGATTTTCTTCAGATTTGGTAGCCATATTGATATGTTTGTTTAACACATGCCTGGAAAGAATTATTATAGTTTATGGAAGGTATATGGACAAATACAAGGAGGTTACAAGCAATTGGAATTATGATGCCAAACGTATACTTACATTGCGTCTGGTTTGGAATTTAGAACATTTCAAGTGCTTGGTTTTTGTTGTACAGTGTACATATTTAGTTTCAAAGGTAAAATAAACAGATAGATATACGTACTGTGTGTGTTTGCATGTGCCATGCATACATGAGACGTTGTTTTGACGTCCACATTCTGATAATCTAATGAATGGTAGCTAAAACATAGCAGACCAATGTATTTTTCTGCACTGTTGGTAAAAGGTTTAACATCATTTTTTTTTTCTTTCCATGCAGGTTTTATTAACATTGGACGATGACCTAATTTTCGTTCATCGGAGTCAGATACCTGTGTTTTGAATTCAGTAAATGGAGTGATCTTCCTGGTGCTTATATTCTGTGATTACTAAATTGTACGTAGCTGTTTTTAGTGAGATGTGGCAATTTGAAGTGTTGCCAATTAATGAATGTTACTTTTGAAAGTGGATCAGGAATTCAGGCTGACTGCGGTACTTTTATAATTCAGGTATTTGAAGTTAAGTTTGTGTATTGAAAACTAACGTAGTTGAAAGAACGCACGATTTATACACGTACAAAACTATTAATAGTTGAAACAGAAACAGTTTAATAGTTATGTACTGTAACATGTATTAAGAATTTATTTTATATCATTATTTTATTCTTGTTATTTTGTGTATGTCAGTAAATTAAAATGTTTTGTACAGTGTGTGTGACATAAACGCATTTAGGGCTGACCATGTCTGTCCGTCAGCCTGTGTGTCCTTGTTATTCGATTTAGAACTTCTGGATGGTTTTTTTATTAAATTTGGCATGAGTATCATGCCATTGGTAGCCACCCGAAACTAGTAATTTTAAATGTCTTACAGTCTTCAATACCAACATAACAAATGAACGAACAAACTTATGAGGTGAGTCCTAATTTGAAAAATGCAGAACTTTGGTGCAGTAATTGTTTGTACAGTGTAAGTCTACAAAATGGTGGCATTTGATTCAGTCGTGCTCATGAGTCTGGCATGCTACCACAGAAGCACATGACGCATTGTGTTATATTTCACGGACTTACACTCTAAAAGAAGGAATTAAGATTTCAACATATATCATGGGCTAATATTGCATTTGTCAAGTTTGTAATAGCTATAGAAACAAAGTAATGGCCACCCTGTATAAAACTGCTTTTCTGTCAACTCTCAGGTTTTGATGAACAAATGAATCAGTAGAAATGAAAGAAGACACCATTTAAAACTTTGTTCATCTATTTTAGTGATGATAATTGTATAAATATTTAAAATATAATGCAATTTTCTCCAGTTTCTTTTGTGAATAAGATGAACATTAAAGATTTCTCTATGTTTTTACATTGTGTGTGATAATTTTCTGTGCATATGCACAGTGTATGTACGATATGGTCCATCTTACGTCAGCTAGGAGCATTCAGAATGCAAAGAATTCATGTGAAGATTGTGCATTTCATTACACACTACAACTTTCTAGTGTTGCTTTCTCTGGTGGACCAAGTAATTTGTTTGGTTGAACTTGCGTAGTAAATATAACAAAATATTTTCAGGGATGAGATGTCTCATTCAGTTTTATAATTTTTCACCAAATGCGTTAACTACTTGATCCGTACTTGTTAGGTATTCTTTATGCTTTAGCATAAGTAAGGAATGCCCTTGTTGGCATATCGTGTGTGTCCGTCTCTCATATCTTACCTCCAGCTAGACATGAACCCATACTCCCCATATTATTATTATTATTATTATTAAGTGTTCTGTCTTACGACAGGTCCATTGCTCTGCCCAAAAAGAGCTCTCCAGTTGTCCCTATTCTCGGCTTCTCGCTTTAATTCCTGGAACGTCATCTTCTTTCCTTGTTTAAGGACTCCCCATTTACACAAATATAATTTTCCTGTCTGGTTTATCGCGCACCCATCAGGTGTGACATAAAGAATGCCTATGGAAATTTTGTGTACTCTGCAGAGTACTCCGTTCCAGTCTTGGTGTTTATTGTATATTTATTTTACTTTGCAATTTTATACCACAGTTTGACTTTTATCGAATTTTGAGGAAGTAAATCATGTTGATAAATTTGTATGATGCATGTCATTGTGATAGAATAAATATCAGACACAATGAAACTTAATTAAATATCCTTTACATTAGTATACTTGCATTATGCTGGTATTTATTACATTATTAGAAAAACAATGCTGCAATTGTGTTTGCTACAGGTCTCTTAAATATAACAGCTGTTATAAATGCGGTACATCCTGTCGGGAATGAGTGTAAGGGTCAAATTAAGGAATTTAAATGGGCAGTTTGGCTTTCACAACTGGTAGATGGCAGAAAAAGTTTTGGAATGTTTGTTCAAATAGGAATATTTCTGACTTTTTCTGCCATTTGGGGCCTTTTCATTGCTACAGAAAAAGAGGCTTTGATACCAACTCAACCATTCTCATAAAATAGGATGGATTGACAGTAGTAAATAATAAGTAGTGACTAATATATTTCACTGCTTTGAAAAACACAAATCTCATATTCTGCATATTTTTACACACACTCAAATGCAGGTGTAAGAACAGGAGACAGAGAAATAATTGTTTAAGGTTAGGAGCAGCAAGCTACCATAGTTTACTGAAATTATGAATCAAAAATCCATTATGAGATGGAATATGATTCAAGGTCAGGAGTGGCAAGTTACTATGAGTTTGTTTGAAGATCTGCTGAAGTTATGAATCGTCAGAATTGGAAAGAAGTACCATTTGGAGTACACTGAAATACCAGAGGTGTTCTTTACACCACATCACGGGCCATGACATCAGCAGGGTAATCAAAGGTAACAATAAGGTAGGAGTGGTATTCAAGGTCGTTCATTGTTGCATGGCAGTGGTCGATTGTCATCCCTGTGACAGTGTGTTCTAAGGTCGTTGTTATAACATAATTATGAAAGATGTGACAAGACATGAATGGGCCAAGGTGTTTGTCAGTTTTACTAAAGCGTGAAGAATACTCAAAAGCCAGTATGAGAGAGACAGAAATGTGTTTCAAGGTTAGGATCTACAAGGGACCATGAGTTTGCTGAAGTACCTCAAAGGTAAATTACAGTTAAAATTCAGTGCATTGGAATGCCACCACTGTCTCAGAATTAAAAGAAAAAATGTTTCCAGTGCTCTGACAGACTTTTTGTTGGCTTGCTTCCCCTGTGTCCCTTCCATTTTCCCTACCTTGCATACTGTGACAGGTCAAGATTGGAGTTGTTTTGCGTCCATTGTAAATAATTTTCAGGTTTAGTAATTTGAATTGACATTGTAACAAGCATGGCCAACTGAACAACGTGTAAGATGCAAGTTAAAGGTGACCATTAATATAAGTCTTGTGATCAAGTTGTGTAATTCTCTCTGTGCGGTGTACAGTTTGAATTGTCGACACTACAAGTTCGGAGCTCAAATATTATTAGTGTGGAATGAAAGACTTTTCCACATGCCCATTCATGCATCAATTTTTTCGTCGGAGGTCAAAATGTACTGTACGGACCACTCGTGACCTGTTGCGCATTTGTCATATAACTTGTACCACGGCCAATAGATGGTGCTGCTTTGATTCTGTCCGTAAGGCAGTAGCGGATCCATGCTGTGGTACGAATGCAGTTTTGTTCCGCGTTTCCTGTGTTGTGCTACTTGTGCCAACGTTTTTGGTTATCGTTGCTATGTATGCTGCATACAGTTTTCTAATGTGTGTGAGTGATATGTGGTGGTTCAAAGATGGATATAGTTCAGCATTCTTGTTCCTGAATATGTTGGTTGGCCATTAGGTATGTAACTGTATTGAATGTGACTAGTGCTTAATCTAAATGACACCTTACTACTAAAGACGGGAGCGCCTCGCTATCTGAATGTGTGTCCCAATTGCGTTTTTTTTTGTATGTTTCGAAACGGCGTCTTGTCTTTGGTACCTGTACATGCGTACGAAATCAGTGAGTTTGTTTCCTACGCTCACCGAAAAAGGCCTTCATGTTATTTTCAATGCAAGTTGCTCTCGTTAAAAATAGGAAGTAATTAATCGCTAGTTTATCAATCTGGTAATTGTAGTGCCACGAGTCCGACATTTAAAGCAACATAACTTCAAATCTCCCGGGCATGTCAGTGTAACTTAAGTGAATTATTTACATAATGGATTTTATCAGTCGTCGATTCAGTTACATACTAGATAACAACGTTTGCGGAATTTCTGTTATCGAAAGCTCACAGCGTTGCGGCTGAATTACAGCCAGGAAGCTGTACTATGTATGAACTGTTTGTGAAGTTACCTCTAGGAATGTGTGTATGGGATTAAAATTGTGTAAATTTTACTATGAAACGACAGTTACCCTGGACATTCGAACTTCAGGCCACATATATTTCCATTTTCAGTATCTGTTTCAGAACAACTTGTTACCACATCCTTTAAGATTTGGTTGAAGTTCCTGGTTTTAAACATTTAAAGTAGCATTTTGAAGAACTGAATGAGAATTTTCATAAGAGTCTGTGACACTGAAAGTTGCTGTTTAAAAACAGTATATGTCTTGAAATGATCTCAGTTTCAGAATGCTTGTTACCGTCTTTTGCAAGAAAATTTGGGATGATGAACTCCAAACACACAGGAAAGTTTGGATTTTAAATGACGAGCAGTTTGCAGGCATAGCAGAGCCTTGGCTGCGTATGAGAACATGACAAAGAAATAGAAGATATTTATAATAAACTAGGTGCAAGTCATCGCGTTTTCAAATCATTGCCCGATTGTGCAGCTTCAGGAACGTATATTTATGATGAAGGATGTTGCATTCCTCATGACGTGAGACAGTATTTGAATCGAAGTGATCAGAACTGCTGGTTTCTCACTTGTTCTTTGGATTACAGAGGAAGATGGCCATCTTGTGGGTCTGCTTCAAATCATTCTACTTGTTTACTGACATGAGATTGTCATCCGTTCATTGAAAATGTGAAAAATGTTTATACTTTTGTATTTAAGTTGACAAAGTTCTATTTTTTAACAATGTTCTTACATTGACGTATCAGCTACTCCTGATTTCTGGTCTTTCCCATTATTTCATGTTAGTTGTAAATGTTCATGACCGACTATTGGCATTGCCCTTTGTTTTTCTAATTCTGTTTGTGATTCTAACTTTGTTTTCCCTTTCAGAGGTCATCTAGTAGCATCACACATAATTTTCGTAATCTTCAAGCCCCTTAATAGCCTTATCAGTCAAATATTTGAGTATATTTATGCATTGAGACCAACTCAGTGGGGCAGAGTCCTTATTTGGAAGCGAACACTCACTCTAATGGTCAGAATGCCATTAACATTGGCAAGTATCTAAAATATATGTTTAGTTGTTGATTTGATGTCCGTGGTGAACCATCAGCCCTAGGCACATCAGACGTGGTGTGGAGATGATCATAAATAGTCCGTGGTGAACCATCAGCCCTAGGCATTTCAGATGTGGTGTGGAGATGATCATAAATGTACAGATTCTGCTGTAACTTCTTGTTAATTATTACAGTCGTCATTTCCCTGCCTTAACAGAGGCGGTAGTGACTTAGCAGGCACCTTTGTAATTACTGAGGCCACAAATCTTCGATCTCATGCCACGCAAATTTAAGACGGACAGAATCTGTACTCGAGCAACAAGTTCTTCCAGTAGGTGACAGCAACAGTATCATTAACAACACAAACAGTTATAACAACTGTAGGTACTTGTGGGTTATCGGGACACATTGCTTTAAAAATAGGTTAGGTTAGTTGTCATTTATTGAAATAAAATGTAATAACTTTCAAGTATATGTCATTTATCCACACACATTAACCAAACCTAACTAACCCAACCTAACATAACCTAACCTAAGCTAACCTAACCTATTTTTAAAGCGATCTGTCCCGATAACCCACAAGTACCCAACTGTATAATAATAAAAATAACTTGATTGGAAAGGTGTACTCTGGAGTAGTTATCTGTGACTTTATTTATGTTACTGAAAGTGGGTGGTACATTTAGTGTTGTGGTGTTTTGAAACACTGGAATGAACATGTTGTGGAGAGTATGGTTGATTCTGGGCTGAGGAAGTAGTTAAGATTAGTAATGGATAAGTGGTTGTTGTTGTTGTTGCCCTGATTTTACTTTCCACAGATCTACTTTCTTCTCCATAGCTTCTGACAGGTTTGCTTTAAGCGTGTTTATTCGCCTGTGGCAGTCAACGTATTGTGATTAAGTTACACAACCTGCAGTGACAGACGGTTAGTTGTCTCCTTTAAAATGTGAGACTTAGGTCTTTTACGACTATTTCCGTGCGTAATTGTCTCTGCAAGTGGTCGAAAGAAATTTTGAGTATATTTATTCTGAGTTAGAAAATGTTCCTTGGCGTCTTTTGAGATTTATTCAGTTGATTCTATGACGGTATTATTATTAAGAGTAATTAATTGCTTTAAATATTGCGCTGTGCTTTTCACGATGGTTGACATTTTAATGGCTTCCGGTAGCGTATGAGGCCATTTTATTTTTAGCAGTTCCAGTTTCGAATGAGGTCGAAAATGTTTTTCTGGAGATACTCACAGATGTTTACATGAAGTTTAGCCGTTTTTGCACTTCTTATATGTTCGTTTGAAAAGTTTTAGTAGCTTATTCACAAGAGATGCATCATGTCCTCTTGTTAAATGTGCGCTCACATTTCTTACGCGTAAATTGTTGATTAAGAGAGCTTCACCACATACAGCACGAAGTAGACATCTCCGTTCACCAGTTGATACGCAAAACCGACCATCACGAAATCAGATATTTTCATTAAAGGAGGCGAACCGTGACTTTGTTCTGTAAATCTGTTACCACGTGTCACCGACACGCAAACCTCTTTAGCCTTAAGATAACTCTTCTGAATTGTGAATTATAATAGAAAGAGAATGACAATTCAGAGGGAACTGTTATCTTCATAATCTAGAACAGTGGTATTCAACCTGGGGTACGCTGAGACATCTTAGGGGGTACGTGAAATTTAAAAAAAAAAATATTATTTTATGATAAACACTGAATAATCAGTAATGTAATTTATTTAATTTATTTTAGATGTAGATTATATACTATGTATAACTTGAATTATACACCAACAATTTTAGGGGTACAAAGTTCAAGAGAAATTATATCTGGGGGTACGCGAACAAAAAAGGTTGAATACCACTGATCTAGAAGGTAAATTTTTACCAGATTACAGGGGTCAGCTTCCCAGAAGACACCCCTTTTTTCATACCCGCCGATGTGAGAACCAGGAATTTCACTTGTAGACTATTTCATAAACCAGGAATTAATATTTTTCACTTACGGTGAATTTAAACTGCACACTTTTTTTCTGACAGACTGAGGCTACAACGGGTGTATTTTACATTTGTTTCGTCCTGTCTAAAAAGAAAACCCACCAACAAGGAGACCGCCATTTCTACCAACCAGTTCGCTCGGGTCAATTTAATTACAGAATACCACCTGCAAGTGTTGGTGCTCGGAGTGCCTAATCGTTAGTCATCTCATGCTACACAATCGCTACTAACTGTGGTGCGTAATAATAAACCAAAAACCTAGACCAGTGGACATAAAAGCTTAAGTTCTCAATTTAATGTACCAACTCCTGTGAGGTGTTACGTAAGTATGCTCTGCTAAAAACCATAATCTTTTTGATTTAACTTGTTTTGCAAGGTTTAAAATCTTTTCATTGACTTTACGATGCACGTGGCGAAAGGATTTCAGCTGATCAAGAAGGAATTTCGTGTAAGGGAACTCGACAATTCATTCGTGTGTCTATTTTACCTCGTTTGGAGCAATTTCAGGTTTATTTTAATGCTGTCCTCTCTGGGTTTCCCCGTCCTTATCACTTCCTTCGAGATTTCCTTTTAAAATATTGTGAGAGTTTCTTGTTTCCACCTTACGCGCTACATGTCTTTCCAACTTCATCCTTCTTGATTTAAGCAAAATGACCACGTTTTATGCGTTTGAAGAATTTCGCTAAACCTGACTATTGTATTTGATATACTGACTATTGTAAATGATGAGTGTTGTATCAGACCGACATTCACCGACATTCACATTGAAGAATTCCGTTTACAATTTACGCCTTAGAGTTCTGCCACACGGCGCGAAAGGCCTTTAAGACCCAGTGGTAACTACATGTACCACCTGTTTTACACAGTTAATAACTCTGCGTTTTGTTTGTATGGGTTTCGTATTGTTTTCAGTGTAAAAAGGGATTATTTCCTTAAACAGCGTCAACTAGTTGATCGTAGTAATGGTGAAGCGTTGTGTTTTCTTCGCGGTACGAGCTGATTTATTAAATAATATTTAGACGAGCTTCGTCTTCAAAGGGTTAAACAGAAATTCAATCTGTTCATTAAATTTTACAGACGATCAGTCATTACAAAAGGAAAACTACGCAAAGTCCTTAGACATAGGAAAATATTAAGAGAGACATTAACCCTTTAAGACCCAGTGGTAACTATATGTACCACCTGCTTTACACAGTTAATAAATCTGAGTTTTGTTTGTATGGGTTTCGTATTGTTTTCAGTGTAAAAAGGGATTATTTCCTTAAACAGCGTTAACCAGTTGATCGTAGTAATGGTGAAGCGTTGTGTTTTCTTCGCGGTACGGGCTCATTTATTAAATAGTATTTAGACGAGCTTCGTCTTCAAAGGGTTAAGCTTATATATGTATATATATTTTCAAGAACCTTGTTCTCGACTTGATTGTATTCTTGCTTGCGAGGTAGATAAACCAAATTTCACACACGTATCGAAGGG